AACAACACACAGAGGCGTTTTATTTTATTTTTACACTTTATTTGAGTTAATTTAAGATGAAATTATGTACAAAACTGGTTCAAACTGGTCTTCTCTCACAAGAGTTTGAAGTGGTGAATGGGAGGAGCCAAATTAACACTAAGAGAAGTTGAAATAACACTAGAGGAAGTTGAATTAACACTAAGAGAAGTTCAATTAACCTCAACCACATCAACTCTGGCAAATAACCCCAACTCGAACCCCCATTTAACTTTCAAATAGTTAAAATAACACTTCAGGTGTTAAAAACAACTCTGAAATATTTTACCCTAAAATTTTTACCGTCCAGTTTTTGCTGTGTGCTGGTAGCTCCTGAGCAACAGGTTGGAGACCCCCGGCCTTGGTGTTGGTCAGAGGGGCTGATGGTGCAGATTGGCAGCCTGGCTACTGTCAGTCTGTCCCAGGGCAAATGTGACTACAATACAGCTGTGTGGAGCTAATGATAGAACTGTAAAGAGCTTTGTGTGTCTTGAAAGGAGCTATAATTAGTCCAGTAATTAATTAAGAAGACAAGAATCAAGATAAGAACGCTGGGTAGAGTGCACCTTCAAGACAGATGAGTTATGAGTCTTATAAATGTATTAAACATGGAGGGTGTGTCTGAGTACCTCCAGTGAAACAAGCGATTGTGACACCTCCAGGAGTATTTATAGCCCGGCCGCCTTGACTCATTTCACAGCTATGTGAGGTTTTTGCTCGGATGGCAGAAAGAACAGTAAAAAGAAGCAAGTTTGTGGACACAGGCACTGTCTATCCGCTCGGTCACGCCTCAGCGCCTACATCCTTTACGGTAAAAACGCAAAAAAAAAAAATTCATCTGCCCACACGGAAAAGCAGAGCCGAAACGCTCCCCCTACACACACACACTCTGAAAAAGCCCTTTAATTTGTCCCTTCGCTGTAGCCATAGTCAACAGTAAGTCTCGAGTCATCATTTGGACACACTTCTAACAGTGGAGAGACCAAATTGGACTTTCTAAACAAACTCCGCCCCCCATCTGCTCGCTGCTAAATAACTGGACTTGTTTGAAAGTGAAGTGACGAGGGACAGCAGATGCACAGGAAATACTTCTGATCAAAGAATATGGGTCTGAAGGAAGAGGATGGCGTTAGAGCGAGTGTGTTCTTAATTAACGGACAGTCTGTAATGCTGTTAATGCGCTTGTATCAAGAATATTTATCCAAATGTGACTTTTGTTATGGTTTGAATTATCTGTTTCTCAGTCTCAGTGCTGGTGAGCTGCTACTTTAACCACAGATGCCCCGCGGCAGATTAATGACAATGTGGCTGCTAATCTAAGTCTAATACTAATTATGTTGTCTTGCTCGTATCTTATCATGTTAAACCGAGATTTGTGCAATATTTTATCTAAAAGCTGTCATGTTGTTGACCAAACTGTATATTGTAAAAAAAAAAAAAAAAAAAAACTAACCCTGAGTCTAATACTAACAGGTCTTATCATAGACTAAACTAAATAAATAATAATAAAAAAAATAAATTGTAGATGATTAAATAAATAAATAATAATAATAATAATAATAATAATAATAATAATAATAATAATAATAATAAATAATAATAATAATAAAATAATAATAAAATAAATAATAATAATAAAAAATACAAATAAAATAGAATAAATCATAAATACTAATAAAATAATACAAAATAAATAAATAAAATATAATACATCCAAAATAAAATATAAATATAGATCTAAAATATTATGAAATAAAAAAATAAAAATAAAATAATATATATATATAATTTAGTTAACTAGTTAGACTAATAGGTCTTATCACATGACACACATTACGTTCCTATATAATATTGATTTACATTAAAGCTGCACTGTGGAACTTTTCTGGTGGAGGTTGTGTCACATGCTTGTTTCCATGGAGGTGTTATTCCTGTGCCTGCAATGTTCCACAATATGACATTAAACATTATCTATCACCATGGAAACAAGCAGATGACAGGACTAGGCCAGATTACGAGTCAGACCTGTGAAGCGGCGAGCTCACTGACAGGAAGAATGCACGTGTTTCAAGAGATCTTTCTCCACAAATAAATACACCTGTAATTGATTCTATGTAAGGTGGTTACATTTAATGCCACAGTGAGGAACATTCCAAGGAAAGCAATAACATCTCATGGTAGCGGACCCCCTATAGAAAGTTACATAGAGCATCTTTAACTTCCTGGAGACTAAACGTAACTCTAATTCCTGAACAATTCCCTATCAATTTGACTCACTTTAAGTTTAAATCATGTTGCTTTAATGAAAAAAAAAAAGTTAAATAAAAAAATCTAATATATAAATAAATAAAATTGTATTAATAATAATAATAATAATAATAATAATAATAATAATAATAATAATAATAATTGTTGCATCATTGAGATAAAAGTTTTTGTTTTTGTTTTGTTTTTTTTGTGACATGAAGTGAAGCAGGCCCCCGCAATATGATAAGTACCCACCCACACTGATACATAGGAGCTTCCTTAAAGCTTCACTGTGTAACTTTTCCGCTTGTCTCCATGGAGATGTTATTGCTCTGCGGACAGTCGCCCCTATTCACAGAAGGAATAATTGTATTTGTGAACAATAGAAACAACCGTCATGAATGAACAAACGCTAGACAGTATGTTTAAAGTCATACCATGGAACATTCAAGGGAAAGCCTTAACATCTCCATGGAGACAAGACGGTAGTGAACCCACCACCAGAAAAAGTTACGTAGCTGAGTAGAAGTCATTTTTAATCTCGAAACATTCCCAAACATTTTCAGTGATTTGTTTCTGTGTGGATAAAGTCTAAAAACCCCAACCACTGCCACACAACACACACAACACACAACACACGACACACAACACACAACACACTTTCACAATAGCGCTGTATTCTAACGCTAACGTTAATCCGCCCGGGTCCTGGCTCCTCGCTGTCTCCGTTTAGCGCCACATGTGACAGGGCGGGTGGCTTTGTTTGTGGCGCGATATTGTTTCAGCGAGACTAGACGCCACTGGATGAGAATATGTTTTTTATGAATAGGGAGGAGGGTTAAGGCAAACAGCTGCGTGCCAGACCAGTTGGCATCTCCAGCTATAGTAAAGTTTTTTTTTTCCCTCCTCACTTGTTTTTATATGGGCTGTTAAAAGAAGCTGATGCTTGCACTCTCCAGCCCGGCGTACCCTCTGCAGCTCCGTCGCCTCGCTCTTTTCATTTGATTCTTCTTGGGGTTTTAAGTGTCACAAACTCGTTCCGATGGGTCGCCGAAATTACAAGGAAGCTGATGGCGGAGTAACAGTCACTTCTCATATAACTCGTTTTACAAGGCGCCCATTTACTCGCATTCATTTGCATTCTACAGTTACACCCAGACATTATCAGAGGTGTCATAATTAGATGGAGATGTGATGTTTATGGATTTCCAATATGGACAGACGGAACAGTGTTACTTGTTTTGTACTTTTGGTTCCCTCTTTTCTGTTTTTGTTTATTATTTTCTTTTTCTTTGTTTTTGACTTTACTTTGCGTGTCTTATCTTTTCTGTACACAACAAAAAGTAAAACGTTAAAATTTCAGGGTAAAATTTTTCACAAAAAGTGTTATTTTAAATATTTGAAAGTTAAATGGGGGTTGGAGTTGGGGTTATTTGCCAGTGTTGATATGGTTGAAGTTAATTCAGCTTTCACTAGTGTTAATTCAACTTCTCCTAGTGTTAATTCAACTTCCCCTAGTGTTAATTCAACTTCCCTCAGTGTTAATTCAACTTCCCCTAGTGTTAATTCAATGTCCCATAGTATTAATTCAACTTCCATTAGTGTTAATTCAACTTCCCCTAGTGTTAATTCAACTTCCTTTGGTGTTAATTCAACTTCGTCTAGTGTTAATTCAACTTCCACTAGTGTTTATTCAACTTTCCTTAGTGTTAATTCAGTTTCCCTCAGTGTTAATTCAACTTCCCCTAGTGTTAATTCAATGTCCCATAGTATTAATTCAACTTCCATTAGTGTTAATTCAACTTTCCATAGTGTTAATTCAACTTCTCCTAGTGCTCAATTAACTCCTCTTAGTGTTAATTTGGCTCCTCCCACCCACCACTTCAAACTCCTGTGAGAGAAGACCAGTTTGAACCAGTTTTGTTCATAATTTCATCTTAAATTAACTCAAAGTGTCAAAATAAAACACCTCTGTGAGTTGTTTCGCTAAGTCAGGATAACTCTACAAAGTGTTATCCGTTTACTGTCAAAACTTTAATATAACTCTTGATTATGGGTTAAACAGGAACTTTTGTCCAGTGTGACTTAATTAACATTTCCAAGAATGTGAAATTATCTCTAGAACAGATTGGACTCATATAAACCCTGAGAAAATGTTCAAATTTAATCCGTGAGAGTCAATTTTAACACTCCACTTTTTGCTGTGTGTGTTTGTGTTCTGTTAAAAGTAAATGATCCTCCTGACATGTTAAACGCTTGAAGAAAAGAACAATAAATTACTAAAAAAATCAACTTTTTTTTAGAGCTAATTCAAAACTTTGACCGCTCTAGTATGTGTATTGTGTCACCATGGTAACTGCTGATATAGATTAACATAATGAATGAAGTAGAACCACCCCAGCGTGATGTCACTGTGAAGAATGGATAAAGCAATGAGCGATTAAAGACGCACTGTGTAACTTTTTTGCTTGATGTTCCACAGTATTAATGTAATGTAATCAGTCACAACTTGTAATTGAATAAATGTAAAGTGGAGCTGTTTAATGTCACACTGTGGAACATTCCAGGCAGAGCAATGACATCTCCACAGAAACAAGCAGGTGACGGACCCCTAATCGAAAAGTTACATATGTACATAGCGCACCTTTGAGTATGGACCGAGTAATATTTATGTCTGAAATAAATAAAAAAAATAATAATAATAAATGTGAGAGAAGAGTTTGGTTTGTACTCACTCCTGGGCTCTCGGGGTCCATCCACGGTGACCTTTATGGCGCGGTGGTAGGTGGCAACTTGGGGCGGGTTGGTGAATACTGTGATGGTCAGGGTGAAGCTCTTCCCTGTGGACATAAATAATAACGTTAAGTCAAATATTTAGGCAGTCACAAGTACTGGAAAAACCTCTGTTCCACCTCGTGATGTCATGAAGCAGTAGTTTTCAAGTTAACAGTTACATTTTTACTTTTAGTTCAGTAGAGATCAGGTCTGAAATGATCCAAATGATTCTAGTTTAGGCATGTGGAGCACTTCCTGTATTACCACATGACATCACTAGGTGGATCAGAGTGCGTTACGTATAAGAGAAGAACTCAGCATTCAACATTATTTAGCTTTGTATTTCTTTTTAGGAATTTTCAGTGTTTTATTGTTTCAAATACAACACATCCATGAATTTGAGTGATTCAAAATTAGCACAGTTTCCACAGAAATTAAATATTCAAGTATCCTACATTTTAAACAATCAAAAGTCCTCAAAATGTCGCCTATAAACAAAAAGCTGAAACCCAAGAATACACAGCCTACCCAAACTTAGTCATAGTTCACTAGTAAATGTTGATAGTACTTGTATTTACCAGTGGTGGGATAAGTACTCAGTTTTGAAGTAAAAGTACAGATACTGCAGCAAAAAATTAATAAATAAATAAAATAAAATAAAAAATACTCAGGTAAAAGTACAAGTATCACATGAACTATCTACTTAAGTAAAAGCATTAAAATACCCGTTTAAAACCGTGCTTAAAAATAAAAAGCAAAAATATTTCATGAATGCTTTGAGATCTAATAAAGCTTCAAATGTGGTGATTTTGATACAGATTTGATCAACAGAAACAACTTAATCGATATTTTTTCTTACCCGTTTTGATTTGTTTGTGTTGGTGTATTTTAATTTGCTCAAATTATAAATGTGCTAAAAATAAACCCAGTCTTTTCAGCCAGTCTCAAACTACCGTATAATTAAAAAATACTTTCAATTTTCAGTCCAATTAATGAAATGTATTCGAGTAGAAAGTACAGACACCCGTGTACCTGACACCTGACACAAGTGTCGTGAAGTAAAAGTAAAAAAAAAAAGGTGCACTGTGTAATTTAGAGATGTAGAGATGTCATTTCTCTGCGTGAAATGTTCCACAGTGTGACTTTAAACAACTCTACTTTACATTTATTCAATTACAGGTGGTTTTAGAGCTCAAAAATACCTAGAAATACATGTATTGTGACTGTGAGCGGGGTCGCCTCTCCACAGATCTGACCTGTAACTTGATCTGGTTTGGTCTCCATGGAAATAGACAGTTTTAATGCCATACTGTGGAACATTCCAGACAAGGCAATGACATCTCCACGAAGAAAAGCATTTGAAAAGTTAAACAACGCAAGCAGATAACTAAAATATACACTTCAGTACTGCAGTTTACTACTTTTACTTCTAGTACTTCTACTCCAGTTACCAGCAGAGCAATTACTTGGATCATTTCTTACATACTCTTGAGTAATTCTATTCGAAGTACTTTTACGTAACAGCTTTTTGGCAGCCGTCTGAGCCTGTGGTGACATCAAACACCCTCCAGTGACATACCAGCTCGCTCAGACAATACTCCGCATTGATGCTTTAACCAGGCCCATGTCACAAGTGTGTCTGTGATCACATAATAGCCGATCCAAACCGGGGCCACTACACAATCCTCTTCATGTAAATTCACCGCAGACAGCATTGGCCGGCCTTGTAGCTCGTTTGGCAGGGGTGAAGGAGAAAAAGCGGAGCGAAGAAGGAGCCGGTCTCGTGATCCGGGCCCTCTCTCTCCCCGTCTAACCCAGCGTGAGTGGGCGAGAGGCATTTTAATAGTCACTTCCTCTCTAGATAATCCCGAGCAGTTGGTGCCTTGGGCCTGGCTGCGCGCACACCAGAGGAATGCTGCTGCGAAATAAGGCGAGAGCGCAAAGCATCACGTCGCCACGGAGACAGACGGGAAACAGGAAGTAGAAGGAGAAGCTGGCCAGTGGTGTTTGTGCTTGTTTTTTTAGTGGATGTTGTCGTTACCTGATTTTGAACCTGACTGTTATTGTCAAGTGCTTCTTTGTTTAAAGGTGCACTGTGTAACTTTATGGTTGGGGGTCTATCACCTGCTTGTTTCTATGGAGACGTAATTGCTCTGTCTAGAATGTTTCACAATATGACATTAAGCAGCTCTACTTTACATTTATGCAACTACAAGTGGTTTAGTAGCTCAAAAATAATGAGAAAAACAAACATTCTGACTGTGCGCGGGGTCGCCTCTCCACAGATCTGCCCCACAAACAGTGGAGTGTTAAAATTAACTCTCACAGAATCAATTTAAACATTTTCTTATGAGTCCAATCTGTTCTAGAGTTAATTTAAAATTTTTGGAAATGTTCATTAAGTAACACAGGACCAAAGTTAATGTTTAACCCCAAAATCAAGAGTTATATTCACGTTTTGAGAGTAAACGGACAACACTTTGTAGAGTTATTCTGATTTAGCTAAACGACACACAGAGGTGTTTTATTTTTACACTTTGCTTGAGTTAATTTAAAATGAAATAAGGTAAAAAAAAACTAAAAAAAAAACTAGTTCAAACTGGTCTTCTCTTGCAGGAGTTTGAAGTGGTGGGTGGGAGGAGCCAAATTAACACTTAGGGAAGTTGAATTAACACTAGGGGAAGTTGAATGAACAATAAGGGAAGTTGAATTAACACTTAGGGATGTTGGATTAACACTACGGGAAGTTGAATTAACACTAGGAGAAGTTGAATTGTATTCATATCATCTCTGGCAAATAACCCCAACTCGAACCCCCATTTCACTTTCAAATACTTAAAATAACACTTTTTTGGTTTTAAAAACAACTCTGAAATAGTTTACCCTGAAATTTTAACCCTCCAGTTTTTGCTGTGTCACCTTTAACTTGGTCTGGTTTGATCTCCATGAAGATACAAAGAAGAAGTTTAATGCCACACTGCGAAAAGTTACACAATGCACCTTCAAGAGACGCTTTTTTTTAATCTGACAAAACCACCTTATAGTAAGAAATAAATGTGCACAGAGCCTTTAATCCTAAAAAGTCCAGAGAATCAGAGTGGTGTTTTTGCTGGTTTTGCCCACCCGTACTTGCTGATGTGTGTGAAGCACTTCCTGAGCTGCCCCTGCCTCATTGTAAACATCCTCGTTCAGAGTTGTGATAAGATGACTGGGCCAGATAACACACACAGACGCAACAGGTGCCCCGCATACCAGCCCCGGCTACATCAGGGTGTTAGAAAGGATATACATTCATATATACATGCATACATACATACAAACATACAGGGACTTGGACTTGGACTTGGACTTGTGCCGTGACCATAAGTCTGCGTTAAGAAGTGGGCTAAGGGAGTGTGACAAAAAAGAACAAAATAAAAACACCAGGATCATGTAGAGCGAGTTAACACAAACAATTTAACACCAAAATGACGAGGTTCACTGCAGCAGTTACAGAAAAAGGGGCGAACAGATTTTCAATGAAAGTCAATTGGAGCCAGAGTAAGTGAAGCGCGCCCATGCTCACTTCCTGTTTGGAAAATGACTTAAATTGAGAACATTTGACTTTATTTGAGTAGATTCAACTTGACAAGTAAAAGCAAAAAGTTGTTGTTTTTCTTATTTTAAGTGTAGCACGATGTATTTTCAGATTTTAAATACAAAAAGTCTTGTTCCTCTGGCAGAAAATTTTACTTGTCAAGTGAAATTTACTCAAATCATGATAAAACTTTCTTAATTCAAGTCATCTTAACTTGGCTAGATTTTAGTTTTTTGCAGTGTATGGTTGTAACAATACCAAATTTTAAAAGTTGATTTTGATATTAAGAAAAAAAGTCTTGATATGGATTAACAATTTTGATAACTCTTAATTTTAGTTCATCTGAGCATCTGTTATTTTTTGATACTACTTTCAGTTAGGGCTGTCAAAAGTATCGAAAATCTGATGCTAATCAATACTAAAACTAGAATCGAAACTCAATTCTCATTTGAACAGTTATCGATACTAAAAAGTCCCATTGACAAGACAGATATGAACCTTTCCTGAATGTTTTTAGAACAGGAGTCTCCGGTGAGCTACCTTAACGAAACAAACATTTCAGCAGTCGCAAAGAAATTGAGCAACATTCGATTCTGTTTCTTATTTTACGTGCAAAAAGATGTTGTTTTTCTTATTTTATGTGTCGCAAGATGTAGTTTCATATTTTAAGCACAGAAAGTCTGGTTTTGCTGGCAGGATAGAAAACTTTCTTAATTTAAGACATCTTAACTTGGCTTTTAGTTCAGCTGAGCATCAATGTTTTTTTGATATTACTTTCGGTAAGGGCTGTCAAAAGTATCGAAAATCTGGTACTTTTGAATCGAAACTCAATTCTTATTTGAGCAGGTATCGATACTATAAAAGTCCCATTGACAAAACAGAAATGAACCTTTCCTGGATGTCTTTAGAACAGGAGTCTCCAAACTTTTTTTCTCTGATGAGCTACCTTAACAAAACAAAAATTTCAGCAGTCGCAAAGAAATTGAGCAACATTCGATTCTGTTTCTTATTTTAAGTGCAAAAAGTTGTTGTTTTTCTTATTTTAAGTGTCGCAAGATGTAGTTTCATATTTTAAGTACAAAAGTTTTGTTCAATTGGCAGAATAGAAAACTATCTTAACTTGGCTAGGTTTTGTTTTTTGCAGTGTATGGTTGTGACAATACCAAATTTAAAAAGTTGATTTTGATACTAAGAAAAAAGTCTTGAGTCTTGAGCAGGTATCGATACTAAAAAAATCCGATTGACAAGACAGAAGTGAACCTTTCCTGAATGTTTTTAGAACAGGGGTCTCTAAACTTTTTTCTCCAGTGAGCTACTTTTACGAAACAAAAAATTCAGCAGTAGCAAAGAAACTGAGTAAATCTAAGAGTCATGGTGAGCCTTAGACAGAGAAGAGTTCGATTCTTATAAAACATAAACCATTATCCATTCATTGATGCACCAAGTTAGGCATCCAAATTACACATTTACAGTGGTAATGAATCACTA